GAGAGCATGAGTGTGTGGCAGTGTGTGAGTGTGAGAACATGTGTGTGGTAGTGTGTGTGAGAGTGAGAGCATGTGTGTCTGTGTGAATGTGTGTGTGAGCATGAGTGTGTGGTAATGTGTGTGAGTGTGAGAGCATGTGTGTCTGTGTGAAAGTGTGAAAACATGAGTGTGTGTGGTAGTGTGTGTGTGAGAGCATGCGTGTCTGTGTGAAAGTGTGTGAGAGCATGTGTGTGGTAGTGTGTGTGAGTGTGAGAGCGTATGTGTCTGTGTGAAAGTGTGAGAGCATGAGTGTGTGGTCGTGTGTGTGAGTGTGAGAACATGCGTGTCTGTGTGAAAGTGTGTGAGAGGATGAGACCGTGTGTGAACACGTGTCAGAGTGTGTGCGAGTGTGTGTGCCTGTGTGAATGTGTGACCATGTGAATGAGCGTGTGTGACAGCACGTGTGCGGGATGCTGTGACTGTGTGAGTGTGCGCGTGCCTGTCAGCATTGGAGTGCGTGTGTGAGCCTGTGAGCCCGTGAGGGAATTGTGAGCATGTGTGTGAGTGCGTGTGTGGGGGGGCACATGTGTGAGAGCATCTGAGCATGAGTGTGTGTGAGTGTGCGAGTGTGTGAGCCCAGGGCTGGCCCTGCTTCCGGCCTTTGCCAGGGCCCTCGCGGCTGGGCCCATGGGGCTGGCAGCGCTGATGTTGGCATCGGTGGCTGTGAGCTGGGCTATGAAGTACCACCTTGACGAATGCTGCTCACTGTGTGACGCCGTTTGTGAGCAAAGGCTCATTTGTACTCGGAACGTGGGGCCGTTTGTTGCCGTGATGCTTGGGACTCCCTGTCCTGCCAGTCTGGGAGCCTTCACCGCTGCCCACCTGTGTGACCGCTGACTGCTGGCTTAAAAGCAGGTTAATCTCCTGTGGCTCGGCGCACGTGGCCGGCGGTGGCAGGACCTCCCGTGTCCGTGCGGAGCCTGATGTGCAGCGGGGAGCGGAGGGTGGGGCCGCCAGCTCGCGATTGTCACTCCTGCTGCTGCTGCTGCTCAGTGTTTCTTTCACATGGGCTGTGTGTCCGGCCTGTGCTGACAGCTTCACTGGCAGAGCTGTGGGGCAGGTCCCGTTGTCCACGCTTTCCTGAAGACTCTGAGGGTCAGGGAAGCCACCTGCCCGTGGCCGCCCTGAGACTCAGCCTTGCCCCGTGCAGGCTGAGGGTCCCGCTGTGCCCAACAGGGGCCTGGATGTGAGGGATGTGCCCTCCCGTGCCCTCTGGGAGTGTTGAAGTGGCCTCCTGGGGCTGTGCAGAGCCACCAACCTCCCCGTCCGGGCCAGTGCCCAGAGGGACATGGGGCGCCCGGCTGCGTGTGTGTTTTCTCTGTTTAAGATTCGGAGCTGGTTGGTGTTTACGCCTGGAGAAAGGGACAAGCTCTGGTGAGGTCGCTGCTTGGGCCCCCTCCCGTCCTCCGCAGGCTCCATAGCAAGGATCCCTGGAGAGACCCGGCTCTCACCGTGGACTTAGGTACCTGTGCCTCTGCCGTGAGCTCTGTCCTGCTCTGCTGTGGCATCTGGGGGCGGGCGCAGAGGAGGAGACGCCCAGGCTCCAGGCTGCCTGGAAGGAGGAGGTGTGGGCGCCTCTCACAGAAGCCTGAAAACACCCTCCAAACCTGCCACCCATTCAACTGGGGACTTCGGGCAATAAGTGTTTTCAAAGCCTAACAAAAGGGTTTCTGTCCCTGGGAGGCTCCATCGGCAGTTCCCAGGCAGGCACCCTGCCAAGGTGCTCTCCTGGCAGGAAGGCAGGATGGGAGCTGGCAGGGGCTCCCCAGACACTGGCACCCTCCACCTGTGCTTGGCTACCGTGTGCAGAGCAGCAGCTCATCACACAGGCGTGGTGCCCACCCTCAGAGGGCTTCTGCCCAGCAGAGGCCCAAGGGCCTCCTAGCCGCCCCCACGCTCTTTGCCTCCAGCCTGGGTGGAGGAGCTGGCTTTGCTCTCCCCTCCGCTCCTCTCCTCACCCCTGATCCTCCTGTCTTCGCAGGAGACAGCGAGAAAGTCACAGCTGCCGAGTGCTCACCGGTTTGTGCCCAGTGTCCCGGTGCCACATCCGCCCACAGTGACCAGCAGGTGTCCGGGAACACACCCAGCCTGGCTTCCTTCGACCAGCCGGCGACCATCCAGACGGCCATGGCCATCCTACGAGACCTGCGCCAGCAAATCCAGGCTGGTCTAGAACTGGCCCAGACCCGCAAGGGAGGGCAAGAGCTGAGGCCATCAAAGCAGAGGCTGCAGGACGTGGCAAGGAAGGGCCCCTGCAGGGACCCCAGTGCCCAGATATCCTTCTCTAAGAGTCCCTGGGCCATGACGGAGGGGAAGCGTTCCTCTTCAGAGAGGGCTAGGAGTTTCCACAGCTGGGAGCCCTGGAGCTCCTCCATTGGACGGGAGTCCTGTCCGCAGAGGGCCTGGGAGACCCAAGGACAGGACCGCTCCTTCCAGAGGCCGGAGAGTCCCCATGAGACGCTGGGCCACTTCTCCCGGCGGCCCTGGAGTGCGTTGGCTGGGCAGGCCTGCAGTTCGCAGAGGGCCTCGGGGGCCCAAAGACAGGGCCCCTCCTCCCAGAGGCCGGGGAGCCCCCCTGAAAAGCGGAACCCCTTTCGAACCCAGCAGTCCTGGCGTGCCGCAGCCACGCAGCCCTGTCCACAGAGGGCCTGGACTGCCTGTGAAGACTGGGAGGCCCTTGGCCCCAGACTGTGGAATCCTCTGGAAAGGCCCAGTCCTCCAGCACAGCGGCCCTGGAGCAGCTCCAGCATGCAGAGGGCCGGCCCCCCGGGCAAGGGCAGAGGCATCGGCTCCCCTGCCTCGGGTGCCAAGCATGCCCTGCCAAGGCCCACTGGGAGCTTCCCTCAGAACCCACCTGGGAAGGAGAAGGACGTGCTACGGCCCTGCCCCAGGCCCCGGGGTCTCCTGGGACCCTCACACAGCTCCGAGTCCTTGCGGGAGTTCATGCGCCAGAAGGCGCAGGCCCGGCGGCGGCAGGCCCTGGAGGAGAAGGCCTCGGCTCTGCGCACACAGGAGCTGAGGAGCCGGAGGCTGCAGGAGGTCTACCGGCAGCAGAGGGAGGCCGTCCTTGGCAGGGCGGTCCCCGTGGTCTCCCGGACCACCCCTGGCATCGTGACCTTTGTCCCCAGTTCTGCGCAGTCCGCGGTACGTGCCGGGGGTGGGTTGGGGGGACTCAGCCATGGACCCGAGGCTTAGGCGCTCAGGTGCTGCCTCTATCCCCCTGGTGCTCTCCAGGGAGCGGCCGGGTGAGGGCTGCAGCTGGGGGCTGGGGACTGCACGGTGTCGCTGCCACTGCCCGGAGAAAGCCAGAGCTTCTGTGGATGCCTCCCTGGGGGAGGCCCTGGTGAGGTGCAGGGTCAGACTTGGGCGCCTTTGCCCCTGGGTACAACGGGGCTCCGGAGACACTCCCTTGGCTCTCACAGCCCCTAAAGTGGGACCCCCGATTCCTGCACGGCTCTCAGAAAGCAGCCTGAGACCCCAGTGGGAGGTCAGGGCCTAGCTCTGAGGCTGAGAGAACGGGGCGTGTGGGCTTCCCAGGCAGGGGGTGTCTGATGGCATTGCCCTCTGCTTTAGGGCCTGGAAGCCTCCGGGAGCCTGGAGTCCCCGGTGCTGGAGTGGAGCAAAGTGACTTCTGGCGTGGTGCTGGGGGGCCAGGAAGCCCCAGGCAGGTGGGTGTGAAAGTGCAGGGGCTGCACGTGCTGGGTGGGGCCGTGGGTGGGCTGGAGCCGAGGACAGTGCTGGGTGCGTTCTGGGGACCTCGTGATATCGCCTCATGACTGACAGGCTCCTCAGGTGGGGCAGGCTCTGTCCCGCCCGCCCACAGTGCCGCCTGGCTGCATGGAGCAGGCGGTCACCACTGTGCTTGTTCTCATGGAGGCAAGAGTCGCATCAAACTTAAATCCACCACGTTAAAGGGCACGTTCCGTGGCATCGAGCACCTTCACCGTGTGCTGTGCAACCAGCACTTCCACTGAGTTCCAGAACATTCCAACTCCCCGTGAGCCCCACCCTCAGGAGGCAGCCTCTCCCCCAGCCCTGGGGGGAGCTATGGGTCTGCTTTTTGCCTCAACGGATTTGCCTATTCTTTTTTTTTTTTTTTTTTTGAGATGGAGTCTTGCTGTGTCGCCCAGGCTGGAGTGCAGTGGTGCAATCTCAGCTCACTGCAACCTCCACCTCCCAGGTTCAAGTGATTCTCCTGCCTCAGCCTCCTGAGTAGCTGGGACTACAGGCGCCCGCCACCACGCCTGGCTAATTTTTTGTATTTTCAGTAGAGACGGGGTTTCACCACGCTGACCAGGCTGGTCTGGAACTCCCAACCTCAGGTGATCCACCCGCCTCGGCCTCCCAAAGTGCTGGGATTACAGGCATGAGCCACCGCGCCCCGCCCGGATTTGCTTATTCTTGACATTTTATCTAAATGGGATCACGGGGTATGGGTCTGGCTTCTCTCACCGAGGATAACGTTTTCCGGGCTCATCAGTGTTGCAGCTTGAATCAGAACTTCACTGAGTCTGGGCTGAATAATGCCGGCTGTGGGCAGGCGACCTTTTCTTCACAGCCTCGTGGCTGACGGATGCCTGGGCCCCACCTGCGGCGGCCGTAAGCGGGCTGCACGGGCTGCTTCGGCCCTTGCGCTGTTTCTCTTGGGTACACGCCTGGGAGTGAACTGCATGGGCATGTGCACCTCTGTGTGCAGCTTTCTCGGGCACTTGCACCCCGTTCCCCACAGCAGCCGCCCTGGTTCCCATCCCCCTGCCGGCGCGAGGGTCCCCATCTCTTCTCTTCCTCACAGTGCTTACTTTTCGCTTATTTTCTGTGTTTCTGTTTTGCTTTGACTACCGTGTATTTGAATTTCTGGAGGCCCCTCCCCTGAGGGCATCGTGATTCACACATGTGGGGTCTGAAGACCTCCTACCACTTTGCTTGGGGGAGTTGAGCCTGGGTCTCACTAGTTTCCAGCCTGGCTCTTGCCCAGGGAGGGCTGTGGAAGTTCCCAGCTTCAGGCCAGTGGCACACACTCTCTGGCCTGGCTTCACGCTAGGCACCTGTGAGGAACTCTCAGCCAGGCCTCCTGCATGCCCTTGGTTCCGGCGGGCAGGGGATGCTGGCTCAGAGGCCGGGGAAGGGGCTCCCACCCACCAGGAGCGTCCCACCCTGGACTCCCTCAGGCCCCTGGCATATCTTTGGCAGCCAGTGTTGGGGGCTTCCAGTTGGCCCCGGAGCTCAGCTCCCCTCTCTGCAGGACCCGACCCCTCCCTCTGGCTCCTTTTGGCTCCATTTTGTCCTGAAGGTGCTTATTTGGAGATTACTTCCCTGGAGTCTGGGTCACAGGGCAGCCCAGGGGCTGTGTCTGTCAATGTCCAGAGAGACAAGGACACAGGTCCTGAGTGAGCCACTGAGTGAGCGTCCCATGCTGGCCCCGCCGTGCCACCCCCTCCCTAAGGGCAGCCCCTCCCCCACTGGCCACCGTCGGGCTCCGTTTGCTCGACAGGATCCTGCCGAGCTTGGTCCTCGTCGCCTTGGGCGGCTGCAGGGCCTCATCTCACTTCATCATGTCCTTGTCTGTTTTTTTCCCCACCTAAAAAATTGTAGCCGGGCGCGGTGGCTCACACCTATAATCCCAGCACTTTAGGAGGCTGAGGTGGGAGGATTGCTCGAGGCCAGGAGTTTGAGACCAGCCTGGACAACATAGTGAGACCCCATCTCTATTTTCTCCAGAACTCTTCATCTTCCCAAACTGACACTCTGTCGCCATAAAACACTAACTTTCCAGCTCCTCCCCAGCCCTCTGCAACCACCATTCTACTTCCTGTCTCTACGGATCTGCCTGTCCCAGGGCCCTCATGTGAGCGGGAATGCACTGTGTTTGTCCTTCTTGTTACTGAAACAGCAGGGGTTTGGTCTCAGTCCTGCCGCTGGCCACACAGAAGGCCAATCGCAGAGACAATGAGTATTGCCAGGGAAGAGTCTTTAATTGGGTGCCGCTGCCGAAGAGACGGGGGCTCAGTCTCAAATCCAACTCCCTGCCTGACTGACTAAAGCTGGGGTCTTGCGTATCAGGGAAGGAGTGCAGCTCCGTGCAGGAAACGGGAACTAGGGAAGGGTAAGGAAGCAAGCGTGATGCACAAGGAGTCTGGCATCTCATCGTCCGGATGCGGTGACCTGGTGCGTTTCAACTCCTTGATTCTGTCTGGGAGGGCTGGTGGTCGGTTTCCTGAGAAAGGAACTCAGGTAAGACAAATGAAACTTTCTCACGTGTTAAGACTGGCCGGGCTCATTTCTATGGTCATTCAGAAGACACCATGAAGGTGAGTTCCAGGGGACCAATCGGCCAGTTTCATTTTGTGCCTGGCTTATTCTACCAAGGGTGATGTTGTAGCCTGCATTGGAACGTGCTTCCTTTTCAAGGCTGAATACTATTCCACCGTGTCGGTGGGCCTCATTTTGCTTCTCTGTTCGTCCCTCGATGGACACTGAGTGGCTTCCACCTTTTGTCTGTTGTGAATAAGGCTGCTGTGAACAGGGGTGACGTCTTTGAGGCTCTGACTTCAGCTCTTCTGGGTGCGTGCCCAGAGGCAGACTTGCCAGACCCGTGGTCGTTCTATGTTTGACCCAACTGCCTCTTGCCGCGGCAGCACCGTTTTACACCCCACAGGCAGTGCCCGGGATCCAATTCCTCTGTCCCCTCGCTCACGCCTGGCCCTGTTCCTTGCGGCAGCTGTGTGGTCTGTTGTGTGGATACCGTCACCACTTCCCTGGTCCCTGCGGACAGACACTCAGTCGGTCACAGACGCTGCTGTGATGCTCACCCCCACAAAACACGCCTGCTTTCCATGCCCTGCTGGGGCAACCGAGCCCGAGGTGATCTGCTCACGTCTCTCTCCCTGCAGCTTCTGCCTGTGTTTGAACAGAGCCTGGAACCGTGCTGAGACTCTAGAGACCCCAGGGATAGGGGGCCCCCAAGATGAACGGGATGCCCCGGTACTGCTGTCAGCCTCACCCTCTCTGGGATCCCTGGAGCCCCAGGACCTGACCACCCACTACCTACCCCGCGGGCTGTGCATCTACCTGGACCCGAAGGAGGCCGAGCACCTGGGCACTTCCAGCCCCCTGCACCTCCAACATAAGCAGGCGCGGCTGCAGGCGCTAGAGACCACGGCCAAAGTCCTCAAGCAACGGGTCGACAGCCTCACTGCCAAGCTGCAGGATGCCGAGGCACCGGACACTGTCGGGGACCTAGCTGCCAGCCTGCTGCGCTTACGTGCCCACACCCTGCCTGCCGCCCCCACGTTCACCGCCCCAGCCTGCCCTGGAGCCTTGGGGCCCAACGGGGGCAGAGGGGCACCTGGGGAATGGGCGAGCGTGCAGCCCCAGCCCCTTCTCCCTGCCACCTACTTCCTGGACGACGAGACACTGCCGTGGGGTCCCAGCTGGGAGCAACAGCGGAGTGTGAGCCCAAGGTCCCCCCACGAGAGCAAGCCCCGAGGTAGGCTAGCACCTGGGCCACGGTGACCGCCGGGTGGCCGGGGAGTCCTGTGGGCTGGGAGGAATGGGGACCCCATTTTGTCTCTGAGCCTTGGCTTCTTTCCTGGAAAGGGGGCTAGGAGGACAACAGCCAGGGGTTGTCCGGGGGGTCTGAGCAGCATGGTGTACGTGGGCTCTCCCGCGTGGCGTGTGGAGTGTGTGAGCTCTCCTGTGTGGCATGTGGCACCCGCAACAGCTGTTGCTCCGGTCTTATCCTCTGGCCAGAGGAAGAGTGAGGCTTCTCCCGTGGCTCCTTCCCTGCTGACTCCCTGCCCTTGCTCCAGCAGAGGGGCCTGAGGGCCAGGGAAGCTCCCCCACCCTCACCCCTGCAGGTGTGGCTCAGGCTCTCCTGCCGTGATGGCTTGGGTCCCCCGTCCTGTGCTCCCGCTGACCAGGGAGTGAAGCCAGGTGCCCTCTTCTCCAAGGTTTCCCAGAGGAGGGACACGTGGATATGAAACTGGACAAAAGGCTGCAGAGAGGTGTGGCCCCCTTCCAGGCCCTCAGCCCCTCTGCGGGGAGGTAAGCCCACCTGCCCCGCGACCCCAGGTCCCTCTCCGTCCCAACTCCCTCCTCCTGGGGGAGCATCTGTCCTGCCCCGGCGCCTGCAGCCCCAGTGAGCCCCAGGCGGAAGTGGAGCCCAGCAGGTTTGGTTCAGGGGCGTGTGCAGGTGGAAATTGAGTTAGACACTCATGACAGAGGTTGTAGTGCACGCAGCGGCGGCTCCCTCCCGAGCACCTAAGCCTCAGTAGCAGCTGTGGCCTCGAGTCCCTCCCGGGGATTTGTGAACACGTTTGGATCTCCTCTCCTGAAAAACCTCCCCTCCACACCTGCCCCCACCAAAAATCTTCCTCCGAGCCCACCACCTGCCCAGCGGCCTCTCGCTCTTGCTAGGGTGGGCCGGGATCCCTGTCCAGGGCCTCCTGGCCAGCAGTGCCCTCCTGGTCGCCGCGGCTCCCTGCACGCCACATGCTGCCAGGACTTCTTGGGCCACTCACGGCCACTCTCACCCCTCTGTCCTTGACGGAAGCACCCGGGTGAGGGACCCCGGCCTGACCTGAGCCGCTTCCCAGGCAGCCCTGGAACCCAGGCTCGAAAACTCAGCACCATGGGCGGGGCAGGCAGGAGGCCAGGTCGGCGGCCGTCTCTTGGGAAGGCCTCTGTGCATCCTTAACGCGTGGCCAGGTTCACCAGGGACACCTAGACGTTGGCTGCCCGGACACCAGGGCCTGGGTCATGCCACCCACCTCCACCAAGCTGTCTTCTGGGTGGCCAAGGGCGTGAGGGCAGACGCCACGTGTAGCACTAGGGTGGCAGTGGGCACCACAGCAGAGGAGCTGTTGCTCAGAGTCCACATGTGGGGGAAGGGGGTGCCCCCTCCCCAAGCCCAACCTTCCCTCCTTTCCCCGCCCCTCCCCTCCCCGCTGCTGGGACATTTCCTGGCCCGAAGCCTCCCCTGCCCATCCTTCCTAGGAAACCCCACCAGCTTCCTCTCCTGGAGCCTCACTCCTTGACCTCAGGGGATGGTGGGCTTGGTGCCTGTGCCAGGGCCTTTGGGTTGTGCCCCATCTCACTCCCGACCCCACCTGCTGCCCAGGCCAAGTCCAGCCCGTGGAACTGAGTCATTGTGACCAGAAGAGGGCAGCATCGGGCCAGACCTCGCCTCTGTCCCTGCGTTGCCCGGGACAACTTCCGCCCAGCCCTTGAGAAGGGGTGGGGGGCGGGGGTGGTGAGAATATTTTGAAAGGTTAATTTCAGTGTCCCCGGCTCCCCGGGGACCAGCTAGATCTGCCCCCAGGACCAGACTCAGGCTGAGGTCTCCGCATTCCTGGCCTAGCCTGGGTCCAGCCAGACGGACAGAGGCTTGGCCCAGGCTCCCTGTGGCGATGGTACCCAGACGTTCCCCCCAGGGCCGGGCACTGGGCTGTGCCCTCCACCTCCACAGCCCTGCCGAGGCGGCAGAAACACAGCAGGAGGCAGAATCATATTCATGAACCGTGGCCCGGAGGGACCCGGGTTTGTGGAGAGCAGGGATTAGGGAGAGGCTCAGAGGCTCGCTGGGCCCTCCCAAGGCTTCCGCCCCTGCTCCAGCAGCCAGGAAAGGGGCCCGGCCTGTGTCTTCTGAAACAGCTGTTGCCACTCACCACTTGAGGGGCGGGAGCTTCAGGGCCAGTGCACGCAGCCTCTGCTGGATCCACCTGCTGCCGCCCTCCTACGTTTCCCACGCCGAGCCTCTCAGGTGTCCCAGATCCTGGCTGCCTCTCAGACTGATTTCTTTGTTTGTTTGTTTTTTGTTTTTGTTTTTTGAGATGGAGTCTTGCTCTGTTGCCCAGGCTGGAGTGCGATGGCTTGATCTCAGCTCACTGCCACCTCTGTCTCCCAGGTTCAAGCGATTCTCCTGCCTCAGCCTCCCCAGCAACTGGGATTACAGGCACCCGCCACCATGCCCAACTAATTTTTGTATTTTTAGTAGAGATGGGTTTTTACCATATTGGCCAGACTGGTCTTGAACTCCTGACCTCGTGATCCGCCCACCTCAGCCTCCCAAAGTGCTGGGATTACAGGTGTGAGCCACTGCTCCGGGCCTCAGACTGATTTCTGAGTTGGGGCGTGAGACAAACACCTGTGGGCCCTGAGGGCTGCTGAGGGAGGGCGTGTCTACCCCCTGCCCGACAACCCCCGGGCCACAGGTATGGGCAGCATCTTCAGCCCCTCCAGTGGATTCTGGGTCACTGTGGACCAGGAAGCACAGATGGGGGCCCTGATGAGAAATGCAAAGTGAGGCGAGCTGTGCTCATGGACGCAGGCTCAGCACACGCCCCGGATGCAGGCTCAGCACATGCCCCAGATGCAGGCTCAGCACACGCCACACCCACAAACCCGTCTCTCTGTGCACCCCAAAGACCCCTCATCCCAGTAGCACTGCCTGCCCGTGCCTGGCAGCTCTCCCTCACCACTCAGCCACCTCCAGGGGAAAGGCCAGCGGCTACACCTGGCTCCTGGCTCTATCAGCCTTGCGTGCTGGCCAGCCTGAGTGGGGGCAGGTGTGTGGGTCCAGCCATGCCTGCCTCCATGGTCACAGCCTGGGTGCTCCCCAGATAGGTTGCCCTGAAGTCTCCAGTGCCAGCCTTGAGCAGAGGGGTGAAGGTCACAGCTGATGTGTGACCCCATTCTGCTCTAGGCCTGGTGGGCAGTGCCCTTAGTAGATGGCAGAGGTGGTCCCGATGACCACGCTGGCTGGGGAGACTCTGACCTTGGCCCTGGGGACCGATGGTGGCCATGGAAGCTGACCGTGCACACCCGTGCTCTCCCTGGGGTCCGAGTACAGAGCCCAGAGCAGCCAGGCTTGGTGCCGGTGCTTACCAGATGTGGGCTGGTAGCCTCGCCTCGGCCCACACCACCATGCTGGGACACATGCTCAGGCCCCACCCGCTCACCCCTGCCTCCCGCTCACCCCTGCCTCCCACTCACCCCTGCTTCCTTGTTCCGAGGCCTCAGGCTCTTCCCCTGCCAGGCTTTTGGCCCTCGGGTCCCATCCTGGGCACACTGTTGGGAGTCTGAGAGCTGCTCCAGGCCACAGGAGCCCAGCTTCCTGCTCAACGAGGGCTGTCCCCCAGATCTCCCTGCCTCCTGTCTCCTCCACGGGCCTGGCCCTGCCATGCGTGTGCCTGTGTCTTCCAGCTCACACGCGGGCCCAGCCACGCTGCACCCTATCTGGGGCTCCCTACGACTGGAGGAGATGCCGTCGGCTGGAGGGGCAGACTCTGTGGCGCCCTGGACCCCCCAGAGCTGCGGTAAGGGTGACCCTGCAGACAGGCCCTGGGCTGGCTGGTCGGGTGGCCAGGGGCATCTGCTGAGAACCCCTTCCACTGCCTAGCACTCGAGCTTGGCCCTGTGGGGTAGAGAAATACTTTTCCACGTGGAGAGCATCCACGCCTCGTTATTAAAGGTTTTGGAGGCTTTCGGGACCCTCTGCGTGCTCTGTGCTCGCCACGCCTGCAGTGATGGGGGCTGGGTGGATGAGACCCACGTGCTTATTTCATGACAGCCATGCCCCATGCCGCTGTGCTCATCCCACCTCCCAGGGCGCTTCCTTACAGTCCCATCAGCCTGGATTCGACTTTTTTTCCTGCTACTGAGTCTTTTCATCCTGGGTTTCCAACAAGCAGTGCCCACTGCCTGGTGCCCAAGGGACCCAGCAGTTGCTGAAGCCCTGGGCTTGAGGCCCTTGTGCTGGCGTGGGCTGCGCTGTGGGACCCTCCTGGCAGGTGGGCTTGGCAGGGCAGCTGGAGGGGCTGATGCAGCCATGGGAAGTGAGTATGGACTCAGAAGGTGGGGGACCCCTTTTGCTGCTTCATCGTTGTCTGTTGATATTCTTCAGAGGAACAGATTTTGAGCATTGGAGTAAAACATGTTCATGTCTAGCTGGGGGAGAGATGGTGGGAGGGTGCATTCCGAGTGAATGGGGGCCCCCATCCAACCGCTACCCCTGGACCACCATCCCAGAGCAGCCCCAGATACATCCTGCACCCTCCTCAGCTGGCAGCGGGGAGTTCTGAGGAAGGTTCCTGCCCCAGGGCCAGTGCCAGGGGCAGGGAGGAGGGTTTCAGTCCTGGGATGTGGACGCCACGGGTTGGGTTCAAAGCCTTGAGCTGGAGGCTGCTTCCCGGTTGGTGAGGGGCTCCTCGGGTCCTCCCCAACTGACAGCGTCCTCCCAGGGCCCCGGAGCCACACCTGGCAGCTTGAAGGAAGCTGTTCTCTGCGGACCAGCAGAGAGGGTCCTGTGTGTTTGTGCACGTGCATGTGTGTGTGCATGCTTGTGTGTGTGTGTGGAGGAGAGGGCCTGTCGGGCTCACACCTGGAGCCCTCTGAGGGAGGAAGGGTCTGCGTCTTCCCCACTCTGGCCCCTCCCCTGGGAGACTCTCCCAGTCTCCAGGACGTGGGAGCCTCTGCACCTCTGGTATGCACCTGCCCCTTCCTTCCACACACACCCTCTGAGCATCACTGCCTACCTGGCACTGAGGGAGCCGGCCCCGGCCCTTACAGTGCCTGTGTTTCAGGGAAAGTGGACAGTAAGAAGACAAGCAAGGGAGGATACACAGAGGATGGGATCTGAGGCATGAGGCCAAGGGGAGAATTCAACAGGAAGGGGCAGACAGCTCATGTGCTGGGGGGGTTCAGAGCCAGGAAGGCCCCCGCAGGCCTCTGGCCTTGGTTGTTTATGCTGTTGTAACAGAATCCCAGAGACTGGATGATTTATAATGACCAGAAATGTATTGGCTTACAGTTCTGGAGGCTGGGAAGTCTAAGAACAAGATGCCGGTGTCTGGAAAGGGCCTTCTTGCAGCATGAACGCAGAGAGGAAGGCAGGGGGGCGAGAGGGGGTGGGATTCCCCCTTTTATAACAAACCTCCGCCCACAATGATGGCATTCATCCATTCACAAGGGTGGAACCCTCATAACTGAATCATCTCGTGGCTGAATCGCTGCCTCATGGCTGAATTGCCTTGTATTTCAACATGAGGAGGGACAAGCATTCAAACTATAGCACCACCTTTCCTCTCCCCAGGAAGTGCAGCCCAGGGAGGTGCAGCGAGCTTCCCAGGGTGCCCAGGGATGGGCTGGGATGGGGCTCTGTTCTCCCACTGCTGGATTTGCTGACTTCTCACTTCCTGAAGGCTGGATGGGCAGGGGCTAGCCGATGTGAGTCATGGACAGTTCCAATGGCCGCAGGACAGCCGCCTCTTGGCCGGGATCTCCCAAGGGGGTTGAGGTCAGAGTCAGGCTCTGCCTTCTCCTTGGAAAGGGCAGCCTGAAGGGGCAGTTTTTATCCCTATACCTCATTCACCATCCTATGGGCGGAAGGTGCAGTAGCCCCAGGGGGACAGGCAACAGGACTCTATTGGGTCTAACTTTTATGACTGGAGGCAGCACTGTCCAGGAGAATCTTCTAGACATAAACACCTACACCAGAGCTGTCCAGTGGAACCTTCTAGACTCAAACACCCAGACCAGAGCTGTGCAGTGGAATCTTCTAGACTTAAACACCTAGACCAGAGCTGTCCAATGGTACCTTCTAGACTGAAACATGTAGACTAGCCCTGTCCGGTGGAACCTTCTAGACTTAAACAGACCTGAGTTGTCCAATGGAACCTTCTAGATTTAAACACCTAGACCAGAACTGTCCAATAAAGCTTCTAGACTTAAACACGTAGACTAGCTCCGTCCAGTAGAACTTTCTAGACTTAAACATGTACACCACAATGTCCACTAGAAACCTTCTGCAATGACGGAAATGTTTCAGATTCTGAGTTGTCCAATATGGTAGCTACCAGTCACATGTGGCTGTCAAGCCACGAAAATGTGGCCAGTGTAACTGAAGAGTGGCATTTTATGTTTTATTTTTTGTGAATTTAAGTTTAAATGTAAACGGCAGGTGTGGCTGCCAGCTGCCATGTTGGACAGCAGAGCCCTGGCTCTCAAACTCCGCAGCCCCCACCGAGGGCATGGGTCCTGTCAGCCTCATTCTGGTTTGAGGCTGTGACTCCCCAGGACCCAAGCCACATGACTGAGAATGTAGCTAGTTAACATCATCACCACCAGCAGTGACGGCAGCTGCCGTGTGCCAAGATCTGTCAAACTGTCCCATTGCATCTTCACAGCTACCAGGGACTTTGGGGTGGCACATGGAGCTAGACTTTTTGGGGCTCCTCACCCATTGCTAGAGGAGTCAGGGCACTCATTGGGGTGACTCCTGCAGTCTCTGTCCAGCCAGGGCCGTGCCCAGCTCGGGGACGGCTCGCTTTCTCCTGGGTCACAGCTCAGAGCTCAGGAACAAACAGCTCATGTCCCGCCATGTCCCCTGAACTGTCGGGTGCTGATGTGGCCGGTGATGACCAGGACTCCCCCTCCTCAGGCCACAACTGGGAGATCTTGGGGGCCACGGGACTGTGGGGCTCGCAGGAGCCGGAGGGGCATTTGGTGGGGCTGGGGCCCCTTCGCTGGCGTCTGCCTCTCTCAGGCCCATGAGACAAAAGCAAAGGATGGTTTCTCCCCTTGGCGAAAAAGGAATTTCAGCTCAGAACAGATGCCTGAACCAAAACCAAGAAGTGTAAGAGTGTCTCCACTTTCCATCATCACCCGTTAGATGGGGCCACAGGGGTGACCGCGAATGCTCAGTGCACGCCAGGTGGCCGGCGCTCCTGCTGCTCGCCGGGTCTCGGTGCTTTGGGGCGTCCTCTGGTGCTTTGGGGCGTCCTCTGCTGCTGTGGAAACGCCCAGGGACCAGCTGAGCTGTGTGGTTCACGGCTGAGCTGCTCCGTTCCGGGAAGGTGAGCAGTCCACTGGAGGAGCCGCCGGTCTTGGGGCAGTCGGAGTGGGGATCCTGGTCTTGGCTCCGTCCGTACACTGGGCGACAGTGACCAGGGCACTCATCGCCAGCCGTCACGAGGCCCCACCATCTGCAGACCCCATTGCCTGCAGCGCCTCCTGGTGGCAGCCTCCGTGGGGCCAGGAGCTCCAACAGCGTGCAGAGTCAGAGCTGGGACTCGGGGCCACCACGGAGAAAGAGAAGCCCCCTCCGCTGCTACTGGGGACTTCACTATCCAAGGAGGAGGCTGAGGTTTTCAGGCCCACGCTCTGGACCAACCCCAGAAATTCCAAGGAGAGCCCAGGACTTGTGCCGGTGCTTACATCAGCACCCACCCCCTCAGCACCCACCCACCCCCTCAGCAC